CCCCTCTGCCCTTTCCCCCCTCCCGTCACTACCTCGTGTTGTTCGCAATACAAGACATGCAAGCCTCGTGTTCTAGTGGGCCATGTGGGCAGCGCAGCCTTGTGTTCCCATGCAGCCTGGATTAATTGCTTTTGAGGGTGACATTTCTCGCGGAACACCAGTGGTCCCTGGCCCACTGGTTGGTGACCACTGGCTTAGCGGCTAAAACGCTGGGCTTGCCAGCTGGAAAGTCAGCAGCCCAGGATCAAAAACCAGGAATCGTGCAACATCCTCGCTCTGGTTCCTGCCAACCTGTTGCGTTTCCCCGAAAATAAGACCCAACTGGAAAATGAGACCCAGCATGATTTTTTTTCAGGATGTTCATAATATAAGCGCTACCCCCAAAATAAACCCCCAGTTAAGATCATCAGCCAGATGCATGCATTTAGTACCCGTAAGACCTAACCGGAACTTTAATCCCAAACACGTCTTTTGGAGCAAAAAAATAATACTAAGACCCGGTCTTGTTTTCTGGGAAACACAGTAGCAGTTCAAAAGCGTGCAAATGCAAGTAGACAAATAGGTACCACTTTGGTGGGAAGGTAATCTTGCTCTGTGGTGTCATACTGACCACATGACTCTGGAAAAGTCTTTGGACAACGTTGCATCAATGGCCTTGGAAGGGCGATGAGCACCAACCCCTAAAGTCGGCAACAAGTGGAGTAAAAATCCACAAGGACTCCTTACCTTTTCCTAGATTAAAGTGGGGTTAGATTTGGGGTATTTGGTGCAAGAAGTTGAAAAAGCTTTTCCATAGATCAACTTCCTTGCTAAATCCAGTTGATCATCCCCAGAAAAAAAAAAAAGTAACAGCATGACTTAAAGCAGTAGAAGTATCTCCATAGCGACAAGAGTCTTGACAACAAACAGAAGCAAAGCTTCAGATGGGGAAGCTATAGAGCAGCTGACGGGGTTTTTAAAATAGTCCTTTGCCAGTGAAGACCACAACTATGTGATATTAGTAGGCAATACTATATCCTGCTAACTTCCTATCTCTTGCTTGGTTTCTTCACAAGTGCGCAATGAGCTATTCTAAAAATGGCTGTTTGTCAAGATGTAATTGGGAAATTCTTCCTGGTTTGTATTACAGATTCTGGCCAGAGAGAGAGAGAAAAAAGACTTTTTCGGTCCCAACTTTTTACTCATTGTTACCCACACGTCCTCTTGGGGGAAGAGAAAACAAAACAAAACTCTTGTTAGATTTGTTTATTTTATTTTCCGCCAGCAAGTTGGGGCCCTAAAGCAATGATGTATATTTGCATGATCTTAAACAAATTGCTCTGAAGTAAATCACCCGGGCGAGGTAGTCCCAAGTTTACATAAAATGGTAACAAAAGCCACAAAAGGAGAAGAAAGCAGGGAGAATTTTAACACAGAAATTTATGTTTTTGCTTCCTTTTGTGAAATAAGGAAGTGAATTAAGGAAGTGAGTTGCCGTTTTTGTGAAAGCAAACGGCAGGTAATCCTCGACTTACAACCTCTGTTTCATTTTGGTCACCGTTCGAAGTTACAATGCACTGAAAAAGTGACTTACGACTGGTTCTCATTCTTACGGCCGTCGCCACATCCCCATGGTCACATGATTGACATTTGGCACTTGGCAACCAGCATGTCTTTACGACAGGGTCATGTGGTCACCATTTTGCAGGCTTCTCTGCCGGCAGTTCACTTAGCAACTGCAGTGATTTGCTTTTAACAGGTCATAAAATGGGGCACAACTTACCTAATAATGGTCTTGCTCAGCAATGGAAATGTTGGGCTCAATTATCCTAATTGAAACTTGTAATGAACAGCTTTCATTACAAGTTGTTGTAGGTAATGAAAGTTGCTCATTCTATTACATTCCATTGGCTCGTTAACCTATACAGGTAGTCCTCAACTTACCTCGGTTCATTTAGTGACCGTTCAAAGTCAACAGCACTGAAAAAAGTGACTTGCGACCGTTTTTCACACTTGAATCATCCCCATCGTCACGTGATCAAAATTCGGATGCACGGCAACTGACTTCTTTACAACAATTGCCGTGTCCCAGGGTTATGGGATCCAAGCGGAGTCAATACGAAAGCCAGGTTCACTTAACCGTGTGACTATTATTGTACTTTATTAATTTATTTGATTCTTTTTGTTAGTTTTTATTGTTTTTTTTTTTTACATTTTAAATACGGTTTTGCATTCTGTAAGCCACCTTGAGTCGCCATGGGCGAATAGGCGGCAATATAAATTCAATAAATAAATAAAATAAATACTAACTTAAGAGCCGAAGGGGTCCATTTAACAACCGGGGAAAAAAAGGTCATAAATGGGGGGGGGGGATTCTGTGTCTCACTCAGCAACAGAAATTTTGGGCTCAATTGTGGTTGTAAGTCCAGGACTACCTGTAGTATTAATTTCCTTTCTGTAAAGCAGGAAACAAATGACAGTGGTTACTGGTTAGCGTTGACATCTGGACTTTGAGACACTGAGGCTACTGACGTCATTGGCAAGTGGTGGAAAAGCTACTTCACTTACAATCCGGAAAAATGTATAAAATTCCTACCTGATTAGTTAATTCTTTGGCTTCATCTTAATTCAGACCAGTGCCTCAGGCTCAGTGCCTACTATTCTGTTAACGCTTTCATGATTTATCTCGTCCTTGGTTTAGAAAGCTGGAATATACATTATAATATTTTCAAAACATTTTATTGAAAGTAGCCCCTTTGTAGCTGAAAGTCTTTAAACAGCCCTGCACTTAAGCTTGTAGTATCACAGTGTTGTATTGGGAGGGAATTGCCAATCGATTTGCAGTATTGATCTTCTGTTCCTTGCCACTCTCTCTGCATGCAGGATCTTGCTGCTTTCCTATCCATTCATCCAGATCAATTTCCTTCGATGTAAGCTAGAGTTCCTGCTGCAGGAAATATGGAAAGGGCTCACAAGTCCCTTTTTCAGTGCCACTGTAACATTAGCAAATACCACTTGGACTTACATACCACTTCACTGTGCTTTGCAGGCCTATCTAAGCGGTTTACAGAGTCCGCCTCTTGCCCCCAACAGTCTGGCTCCTCATTTTACCCACCTGGGAAGGATGGAAGGCTGAGTCAACCTTGAGCCTGGTGACATTCAAACTGCCTAATTGCAGTCAGCAGAAGTAGCTTGCAGTACTGCACTCTTAACCATTGCGCTACCATGGCTTTGAATGGTCACTAAATGAATTGTAAGTCGAGGGCTTACCTGTATATGGTTATTAAAATAATGGAATGAATTATATGCTAATCCTGTGTAAAAATGCCAAACAGGGCTCTCAGAACCACTTCACTCTGTTACAATTATTACTGTGCAAGTTGCTGCTTTTTTTTTTTTTTTTTTTTAAAAGTCTCTGAACTTGAACTCATGTCCATGTAATTTCTTTGGAAGTGAGATTTAAGTGGTTTGTCATCAACTTCATGTGATTCCCCCCCCCCCCTTAATTACTGACCTACACTTCTGTGGAAGTGTCCACCCTCCGAATAGTAAATCAGGCCCAACCCTGTTTATCTCCTGAGGTTGATTTAAGTTGGCCAGATCTTACCACTAACGGCCAGCAGATATTGCTCGCTTGTTGTCCTTTCTTAATGTGTTGTTTCTGAACGATGGACTTTTGGAGTGATTTATTTGATCTGCATTCTTTTTTTATTAGAGACAATGGATTAAATACATTTATAAGAGATTTGGAAGGTGTTTGCAGACTTTCTCTCTGTTAAATGCAATAACAGACTGTTGACAGGACTTTGAAGATTGGGGTTACCTGTTCCACTTTTTATTTTTAAGTGAATAGAGAGTAGGTTGACTCGATGGATAGACAATAGATTTCCATATTGGTGACATCTTTTAATGCTAGATAATATTTTTGGTAAATATAAATGGGAAAGCTTAACTATTTGTAGACCTGTTACACAAGGCTGGGGAGGATGTATCAGATATATTTTTCAGCATTCAACCAAGGCGGTCATTTTATGTTTAATGTTAAGATTATTACTTTTTATTACTGGGGTTTTTTTTTGTTTCGATGTTTTGTTTGTAATTGATTTTTTCTGTCTATTTTGTATTTTAACTTTGGAGATAAAAATAAAAACTTTATTAAAAAAATACGGGTGATTTGACATAATATCTGCTTTAAAAAAAACCAGAACAATTGGAGCCACAGAAATATTCTGCTTCCATTAAAACCCCAAAATCTTGTCCTTTGTGTAACTGGTTTTCCACACTATTAATTAAATTATGGACTTGCTTGAACTATAAATACATGTAGACATGTGTTCTCCCTTTGTGTGCCATAAAACTGATTAAAATTGTGTATATACTGGCTATTCATTGAAGAGAGGTTTTGAGACAGGTTACACAAGCTCTTGGGATAGCCTGCCACCAAAACAGCTGACAGGAATACCTATTGTTCTGTTCTGCTTTGCTGCCATCTAATCTGATTTCTCAAAAGGCTGGGTGGAAAATGTAATAATTGAAAAGGCATTTTGGCACTTCCTGGAGGGGAACAGCCCTGTGTGAACAAACAGAGCATTTTACAGCTTAAAGATGCAGATCTACATAAGAGAAAACAAACTGCAAATAACTGCTAGTAAAATTGAAAGAATTAGCTGACTTTTTTTAAACAATTTTTATTTGACAAGCACACAGTTTAGGTGTATGCTTTTGATAGGACTGCAAGCTTTTAGGTATGCCTATTCAGCATAATTTAAAGATGAATTCATAAATATGATAATGAGGTTTATTATTCCTACACTGTATTCCTTCCAAAGCATGGTCCTCTTTCTAAATTAGCTTTGGTTGTAGTTTTGATAAAACACTTCTTCGCTGGACTCTTAACTCGCAGGAAGAGAGGAGATAGTGCAGCAAAAAATCTGGCATGCATCTCCCTCAAATTATTGAAAATTTCCTAAAATTGGACAACAGAATGTCCTTGGTGAATTCTTTCTTTCTTTCTCTGATAGGCAGACGACTTTGATTTTCTGCAAAATCTTAACGTTTCTTTCTTTAGAAAATGGATGAAAACCAGAGAGTTTCATCAAAGCAGAAAAACACAGCATTCAGACACGTTAATTTTCAACCAGTTGTTCTCTCCACACGCCGGGAGTATACATTTACTTATTCCAAGGTTACGATAACAATTGGCTGGATTGACCGGGGATGATGGGACTCCTGATCCAATCCTTCTCAAGGCCATGAATGCTTCCTCTGCAATTCTAAGGCAGAATTGTGACTTTCACGGGGTTAATGATTCTCTTGCCAAGCAGGAAGTGGTGACTATTAGTAACTAATTCAACAATATTTACGTCAGGGCAAATAAAAAGATCATAAAAAACCTGCCATAAACCCGTTTCCATTTTTAAAAAAACATGTTTTGCTTTGTTTTAGAAACATGGAAACGAACGATCCAGACATTAATGGGGAATTCTATTCACAATCTGCCACCTTGAAGTAGAGGTACTCCTCAACAGTTCATTTAGTGACCGATTCAAGTTAGCCCTGAAAAAAAGTGGCGTGTGGCCATTCTTCACATTTATGACCGTGGTCACGTGATCAAAATTCAGATGCTTGCCAACCGGTTCATACATACGGCCCTTGCTGTGTCCCAGGGTCACGCAATCCCCTTTTGCGGCCTTCTGACAAGGGGAAGCCAGATAGGTTGAACCAACCGTTTAACTAATTTCACAACTTGGCAAAGGTGGCAAGAAAAACTAAAATTCCCTTTGATCCTATGTTTTTTCTTTCTCTTTTTAAACTTTCCAGTCCAAATCATACACAGATTCAAAAGGAGACTTGCTCCCTCTCATCCCAGCTGTCTGATTCATGGTTTTTGAATGTATTACCTCCGTTCATCCGTGTTTACAGATTGCCAAACTCTGAATAATTTCTCCTTTCCTTACTTGGCGTTAATGGATCCACCCCTTTTTAAAATTTTCTCTGTGCCAGGCGAGCAAAAGGGGAGTCAAATTTCCAGCCTCCTCACTTGCATCTCTTTTAAAGTCTCTGTTTAGTGATGCCAGCTGTCCAACCTACGAAGTTAGTGCAAGAGAATTCTGGCTCAAACTGACAGCTCACAATCCTGAAAGCTGTACAAGTTGTCCTCGATTTAGAAACAGCTCATTTAGTGACCATTCAAAGTTACAACAGCCACCGGGAAAAGGGACTTCCTGCCGTTTTTCACACTCTAATGACCGTTGCAGCATCCCTGTGGTCATGTGATCAAAATTCAGGTGCTTGCATCTAATTGGCAATGGGGGAGGGGGGACTTTTTTGAAATGTTTGAATTGAGATGGAGTTTTTGAAATGATGAAATAAGAATATGCGATGAAATTGGCAAACCTGACAGATAAAAAAGCATAATGCACAATGAATACGCAGATAACGCAGATACAAGAATTATTTAAAATTAAAAGAAATAGGTTAAGAAATGAACTGAAAATATATAAAATAAGTTTGAGGAAAGTACTTGAGAAAATTAATAGAAAATATGTAAAGTAATGATAAGATATGAAACTAAATGTGAAAGATGAGTATGCAATCAAGGTCATGTTTGTATGGAAATGGGAAAACCTGGAATCATGCTGTTCACTAAAAAAGATGTTTTTCAAATGTGAAAAAATAAAACGTTTTAAAAAATTCAGATACTTGCCAACTGACTTGTCTTTATGATGGCTGCAATGGCCCTTTTGGGATCTCCTTTTGCGACCCCCTGACGAGAAAAGTCAATGGGAGGAAGCCAGATTCACTTAACAACAGTGTTACTAAGTGGACAGTGGCAGTGATTCACTTAAATGTGGCAAGAAAAGTCATGAAATAGGGCAAAAACTCACTTAACAAATCCCACTTGGCAACATAAATGCTGGGCTGAATTGTCGTAAGTCAAGGACCAGCTGTCCTAACTCAACAACTTAACAAAAAATTCACTTAACAAAAGAAGTTGTAAAACGGGGCAAAATTCATTCAACCATCTGACTTTGCCACAAAGGGTTTGATTTGTGGTTTTGGGCTCGATTTTGGTGGTTAATTGAAGATTACCTGTATAATATTTTCCATGTTCTACACTGAGGGATGAGGTGACAATCTCCTGCCAACACTAGTCATAGCAGAATAACCCAAGCAAGGATAATGCTGTTTTGTGGAAGCTAATAAGATGGAAAAGAAAATATTCTGGAAGCTTGATGTGGCAGGGCAATTTATCCAAAAGAGCGTGTTTGCGAGTGAAATTCATAGATGGGCACAGATTTAATTTGTTGATGCTGAAAATGTTTGATGCCCTCTAGTGGTCTTTTCTGATTCAGAGACTGGATCATTTTTATCTTGAGAAAAACAAAATGAACTGTTCTTACCACTTTGGGTGAAAACAAATATATTTTTTATCCCATTAAATGTTGGCAAATGTTTTAATTTGGGGTGTTGCAAGTGTATATTAGCAAACAGATCAGGGCAGGTGCCCTTTTAAAGCTCCTGAAAGTGTGAATAATTAGATTGTTGAAAAATAAATTTATTAACAGAAATGTATATACCCCACCAAAGACACAACGGTCTGCTGGAATTCTGGGTAGCAAGGCAGTAAAGGGAATTTTAAGATACTAAAGCAGTGGTAGGGAACTACAGCCCTTTTATGACTTGTGTACTTCAACTCCCAGAATTCCTGGCTCAGGAATTCTGGGAGTTGAAGTACACAAGTCATAAAGGGCATAGTTTCCCACCTTTGTATAATGAATCTTGGAGCTCTTATATTTAGTTGGGAGTTAAAATATGATCAGCCCTCATTTACCTTCATTTTGTGTCCTTTTAACCTTGTTTTAAGAGTTATGGTTATGCCATTAACCGTTTCAATGCACATCAAATATCATGTTAAAAATCTGCATTCTGTATCTCAATGCTCTCTCTATAAAATCAAAATACCATTCACGCATCATCACGAAATCTCCAGAACCATAAAACCTACAAACTTGAAATTTGGCACGTATGTTCCTCTTGGCTTCTAGGTGTTCACTAAGAAAGGATTTTTTGAAATGACCATCAGAGCATTAGTCTTTCCTATATTATTATTATTATTAACACGCTCTGATGCTAAGGAATTCTACTCCCCCTCCCCACCTGAAAAGAAATCTCTTCCAAATGCAAAACACAAGCAGAGGAGTTTCAGTTTCAGAGCACCAAGCAGCTTTAGTAAAAAACAGATGAGCTAAGCCACGCCCAGGCTCTTTGCTGTCTCCTTCTTGCTTATACAGCGAATACTGTTTCAGTTTCCAAACAGCCCCCAACTCACTGACAGGCAGAATTTTTTTCCCTTATTTTCCTCCACAAAAACTAAGCCCAACCACAGTTTCATAGCAAAGGAAGGGTATCCAGCTAGTGGATGTATATATCGCATACAATAAAGAATATTGGTTCAGATTTGAAAACGGTACCGTTGGTAGAATTCTTGCAACCTCATGTATTTTAATAAAACTTGCCAGAGGCTATTTAGGAATGGGGCTCAAAAACAAATGCAGTTTTAGACCGCTGTTGAAAAAGGAAGACATTCTACACAGGAGCAACTTGCAAATTTGAGAGGACAGCTTTCGCTGGCAGCACAAGGCGTGAGGAAAAACATTTAAAAAGAGTCTTCCTGTTTCGCACTTTCAGTTCTATTAATTCCCACCCATCGTTCGTGTTTACATAAGATGCTAAGCTCAATGCCCCTACATATGTCTTGGTTTGCAAGTCCCAAATTTCCTTGCTGGCAGGAAGATAGGTTGAAGGTTGAAATTGGAAATACAGGTAGTCCTCAACTTACAACAGTTCATTTGACCATTCAAAGCTACAACACCACTGGAAAAGGTGACTTACAACTCTTTCGCACAAATGTTGCGTCATCCCCATGGTCACAAGCTCAAAATTCAGATGCTTGGTTCATATTCAGGCCAGTTGCAGTGTCCCAGAGTTGTGTGATCTCCTTTTGCGACCTTCACTTAACAGCCTGCATGGATTCCTGTAACAACTCTGGCAAGAAAAGTCATAAAAGGAGACAATTCACCTAACAACGTAGCAACATAAATTATGGGCTTAATTGGGGTCCTAACTTGAGACCCCCTGCAACTGGGAGGGTACCAGGTTGTCTCCCTCTAGTCTTATCCTAAGTATTTTAGATGGCTAAAAAGAATGACTATTACCTCCTACCCCTGGGACTGGAAGATTAACCTTTAAGCAGGGCAGTCTTTAAGCAAGGCACACTGAGTTTATAACCTTTTTGCTGATACTGTTACGATTGCAATCTGCAACTTTTCCTGCCGTCTTCCCCAGTGATTTTTGTCAAAAGCCAGCTGGCAAGGTCCCAAATAGCGACCACGTGACCCCAGCATGCTGCTGCCACTCCCATAAATGGGACTGTGATGACCGGGGCATGACACAAAAAGTCACAAAAGCAACAAAAGTCACAAAAGTAGGTAAAGTCTCCTTAATTCCTCCAACTTGGCCTCCAATGTCCAGTTATATATCAGCTGGAGAGAAAACTCTCCCAAGAACAGTTTTTAAAGGGAAGAAATTCAGTCCGAATCCAAAGTACATCTAAATTATAAATAAAAACCAACACAAACTACGCTGCAGCAATTAAGGAGACAGGGCAGGATAAGGAATTGCAGACTTCAAAAGATAATGAAACACACACAGTTGGGAAGACGCCAGAACCCAGATAAGACTTGACAAACAAAGATAACGCACGCTTTGCTTCCAGCAAGGTGCTGTACGCAAACACCCTTTTAAAATTCTGTTTTCTCAGCTGCAGCCAATGAAGGGAATCAGGGCCTTTTTCTCCCCAGTAAGCCACATTGCTCCCTTCTCTGTTCCTCCCTGCGTGCCCTAAGATGAAGAGAGGGGTGGGCCTGGGTCTTCCTCTGAATGCCCAGCCAGATTGTGCCCTTCCCCAGTTTCTTTCACAGCCACTGGAGCCACACTCCCACTCCCTGTCAGCTGCTCAATCTCCCCCTCAGAATCAGATTCCAAAAGGGGCATGACAGACATACCCAAGTGAGATGATTGCTAAGGCCCATTTCACCACCTATCTTGCCACGGTTGTTAAGTGAATCACTGCAGTTGGTAAGTTAGTAACCCGGTGGAGTCTGGCTTCACTATTGATTTTGCTTGTCAGAACGTCGCAAAGGGGCATCGGGTGACTTTAGGACACAGCCTAAGGTCATAAATATGAGTCGGTTTGCCAAGCATCTGAATTTTGATCGTGGTGATCATGCTCGTAAGTCACATTTTTCAGTGCTGTTGTAACTTTACAAATGGTCTCTAAGTGAATTGTAAGTCGAGGACCACCTGTAGAAGAAGCTAGAGTGTCCTAAATGGAAGATTGTCCTGTGCTACCAGCAATTTGGCACTCACAATCGCTTGTTGGTTAACCCAGGTTGTTACCAGATGTGAACTTAAGGACTTCAAGCCTTCGTACTCAGGTGTGCCCATTTTTATAAGCCACCCAAAATAGAATC